GTAATTTTTATTTTTATTTGTACTGGTACAAATAGTAGTAGCTTTGTAAATTTCTATATATAGTGGTTTAATGATTTACTCTGACTACAAGTAGAAGCCTCAGTGACTGCATTGTAGTAATCTATACTGTTACTATTAAAAAATTTTTATTAATAAAGATATGAGTAAGGCCTCACCTTAAAACCAAAAAAAAAAAATAATAATAATTCAATATTAACCTTATTATATTCAATATTTGTAAACAAAAAATTAGTAAATTGATAAATTTTAATTCTTATATAATCATATTTTTCTTTATCTATTTGATATTACTAAAATATAATGATTTTTTAATTAATAACTTCTATCACTATCTATAGAATATTATATTTAAATATAATAAAAGTTTGCTATTTATCAGCACTGATAATTATTATCAGTATATAATTAACTAATTAATTTGCAAGATTAAGTATAATGTATAAATCAATTTTGTATAACAAAAACAAATAATTTTTAAAAAATTAATCATATCTTAAAATTTTATCTATGAAACTACCTTTTGGGGCTTAATAAAAAAATTTTTGCAAAATTTTACTATAATTTTTGTCTAACCCCAACATAATATCTCCACCCTTATTCTAATATTAAAAGAATTAAATTTTTGTTTTAAAAAATTACTTTGATTTATATATTATACTTGTAAATTACTGATGATGATTACTAGTATCAAAATATAGTAATTTTAAATATAATATAAATAAATTATAGATTATATAAATTAAATTAAAATTTACTATAAAGTATATTCTATAAAAAATTTTTTACAGCTATATTCTGATTTTGTTTGAACAAGTTGAACCTATTTCAATCATATTATGAACTAAAATTTGTATAATATAAATTAATGTATCAATATTAATATTGTTTCAAAAATGTTTCTAAGTTTTTTTTAAAAAAATTATAAAAAAATAAAAATTTGAGCATTTAGAAAATATTCCAGTTTGGAACTTTATTATTCAGCACTATTAAATTAAAGTTATAAGAGCTATTTACATATCACAGTTGATAACATATTCTTGTATAACTTATGAATCATACTAAAGAATCATTACATAAGAATTTTTTTTCATTTTTTTTCTTTGTTTTTTTCTTTTTTTTTCTTCATTTTTTTCTTTTTCTTTTATTTCTTTTCTCTTTTTTTGCTTCTTTTTTTTTCTTTCATTTTTTTCTTTTTCTTTGTTTTTTTTTCTTTTATTTCTTTTCTTTTTCTTTGTTTATTTTTTTTTCTCTTGTTTCTTTTCTTTTCTTATAACTCTTTTTTTTTCTTTGTCTTATTTTCTTTTTTTGTTTCTTTTCTTTTTCTTTATTCTTTTCATTTCTTTTATTTCTTTTCTTTTCTCTCATTTTTTTTCTTAATTTTTTTTTGTTTATTACTTTTCTTTCACCCTTTATCTTTAGTTTCTTTCTTTTCTTTTCTTTTGTTTCTTTTTTTTTTTGTTTCTTTTCCTTTGTTCCTTTTTCTTCATCTTTTTTCTTTTATCCCTTTCTCTTTCTTTTGCTCTTTTCTTTTGTTCCTTCCTTTTTTTTTGTTTCTTTGTATTCTTTTATTCTCATCATTTTCTTTTGCTTATTTCTTCTATCTCTTTCATTCTTTTTCTTTTGTTTCTTTTTTCTTTTCATTTCTTTCTTAGTTTCTTTTTTCTCATTCTTATTCTCATTCTTTTTGTTGTTTTTTTTTTTCCTAATTACTAATATTTTTTTTATAGATTTTTCTATAGTGTCTCTATAGCATGTATTGAGATCACCATAGTTGGAGAATCATTGATGCAAATTTTGTATTTTTTGTATCTTGTTATTTTGAAGTCACTAGTGTTAAAAAATCACCAACAGATTTTATTCTTTTGCACTGTATTATATTAGAATCACTGCTATAGTTGAGCTGTATTATATTGAAGTTATTATAATTACCATAATTGCTAGTCTAGATTTACTATTTTTATATCATATTGTCTTTTCTGTAATATTATCATTTTGTATAGTTAGAGTTAGAATTAGAATGATTAGATAGCATGAATGTAATATAAAATAATTTGATTTTTATAAATATATTCAATTCTGATTATTATCAAATTTTTTAAAAATATTAGATTAATTCTGGAATATAATAGTAAATAATGTTCCAGAAAATGTTCATTTTCTGGAACATTTTCAGAATATAAAGATCTGAAAATTTTTTGAAAATTTTCTAAAATAAAAATCTAGAAATTTTTCAGAAAATAATAATAATAAATTTTTTATAGAGATAATATTTTATATAGAGCTTTATATATATTAAAGTTAGATTTAGAAATATATGTGGTTATATACAAAATTAGATGCTAAACAATATTACTTAAATAGTTACCTTAGTAAAATTTAAGATATTAAAGAGTTTAATTTTTTTCTTATACCAGATATTATATCTACTGAGCACAAATAGTAATTCTCGATTAAATTAATATTTAAAATTAATAAATTTTTTTTTATATTTTTCATACATAGATTAAATTGGCCCAATTTGCAATATGTAATATTTTTAAAATACCTTTTAGTGAGGTAGATAGATATTCTACAAGTACATTAGAGTAAATTATGGTTTTTATATAAAACTAGAATGTAAAACATACTGTTTTCAGCATTTCTTCTTTATCATCAACTAATTATTCTACTAAAGACTTTGTTTCTGAGTTCTGATAATAATTTTAATTTTATGAAACAAGATCACATTTGCTATTTTAAACATTTACATATTTACTTTTCGAATTCTGGGTCTACTTGGTCATATTAAAATTCAATATCAGATATATCTAGTAAATTATCTATATCCAATATTTTTAACAATAAAACAAGAAAAGGTTAGTACTATAAAAAGTGCTTTTATTGACAAATTGATGAATATAGAAATCATCATGCAACCAATTGTATAATAATAATAATTATGCAATCGATATATCAATCGATATATACGTAGTACATGTAATTGATTATATACTACACATGTGTACATCTAAGTATACTTTTTTAATTTATTTTTTTTTTAATGTCTGCACTAACTAATCTTTTTTTTTTATAGAGTGAGGCCTGGCCTTGTCTTTATTGAATAATTATGCGTTACATTGTTTAGATAGGTTACATGAATTATTACGGGAACTTAAAGCTAGGACTAATTTATCCTCAGCCCAAAACTTTACTAGAGGCCTCTACTAGATTTAGTTTATCTATATAAGATGTAGATATATTGGTTGTGGGGAAGATTCTTGCTCATTCATTGTATTTGGTTATGCTAATGTAGTGTGAAGAAGAGTACTAACTTACACTACCGCACTGTACTAATTCACTATATACCTGATAATAGATGTGTTTACTGCGTATGTACATAACACTGATAATTCCTTTTTAAAGGTTGAATTTTTTTAAAACTTCTGGCGAAAAATTTTTTAATAACTACTTATTATCGCCGTTTTCAAAATTCTGTCTCCCTACAGAATTAGCACCTAATTGTGAAATTGATTTGAATATACCCATGTATCTCAAAATGATTATAAATTTTGGAAATGCAAGGGTATGAAAATCGATTCTGCAACCGATTTTACAATTAGATGCTAATCGCGTAAGGACTCAGAACTTTGAAAACAGCGGTAATATTTAATAATTTTAGTTCTTTACCTTTGTAAAAAAAATAATAATAAAAAATTGGTAAATTTGGTTTATCAAGAAATCTTTGCTAAAATTTAAAAATCATCTTAAAAATAACGGAAAAATTTTTTTCCTTTGAAATTTATCGACAGCTATCTTTTCAAATTTGGTGAAAAATCTTTTAATCTGTGTGTTTATAGAATGAAATAAAAAATTTATCAAATTTATAAGTTGTTACTAAGAAATGTTTATTAACAACAATTTAGACACAACTTTCTTTATACATAGATATCTAAACCTTAACAAAGATTACAACATGCACAAAACCAGTGAAAATAATTTATAAATTTATAAATTGCAAAAAAGCTTGAATGCATCATATTTTATTAATTACTTAATTTATTATAATTTTTTTAGCTCTCTAGCATTGACAATTATACTATTAATAATCTAGTTATTAATTTATATTATTTGTTAATTAAGTTATACGTTATAAAGGCATGGAGAAGTGCCATTAACAACATCCCCACCGATAAGTTTTAAAAATGCTACACCATGTCTTGGAATATTTGTAGCAGTATAACTAGCAATTGTTTATTTAAAAAGTAGAGTTATTCATTCAATTAGCGTAATCATTAATTTTAAAAGAATTTAATGGAGTTATTTACAGAAATATGTGAACATACCTATCAGTAGTAAAATTTCCGATATTCGTTTGTTTCACAAGATCCCGAATCAAAATATTACCCGTAAGACGGCAATGATTCTTAAAATCCAATGTAATATCTATAGGTGATATTCCACGATTAAATAAAACTAAAATAATAAAAACAAATTATTTTTATATTATAATAATTTAATTGAATAAGGGACAAAAGTTTTTGTAATACAAACGTGCAACATATCCATCACTAAGCGGTCCGGTCCAAATATCAAAAGAAGTCGCACCATTAGTTACATAGTGAACCTGACATACAGATTTTCCAAGGGGATCTTGCTATTTTCAGAATTAAACAAGGTTAAATGAGTTATATTAGGCCATACAAATTTAATATCTTGGTTTTCATAGCATGAAACTTTTAAATAGACCCGGTCGGACTATGAAAACCAATTAACTAATTTGCATGACCTTATAATGATTTTTTTTTTTTTTAATGAGAAACAAAGAAAATATTTTAATTATAAGGAATAGACTTACATTCACAGAAATTATATCAATATTTGTCATTAAATCTTTTATTGTCCCATTAACAACTTGTTCGTTACTGAGCTATAGTGTAATTTAAAATATTGATATCATTATTATAAAATGATAATAAATTAACAATTTATAAAATAAGACTTACATCATATCCGAGTATTAAAGGAGCCTTCAGAGCAGCCCAAAAGCAAAAATGAGTTACTTGTTCTTGGAAAGGTATCGCCGGAAAGCCTACTACGAGCATATCAGGATCATTCCAACCTCCTGGTTTTCCATATTGAGTAAGTCTTGCTTGCGAATCAATTATCGATATGATTGATGGCCAAAACGCGTCAATATCAACAGAAGTTCTCCAACTAAAATTAAGTAACGAAAGTAAGTTATTATATTCGCAATTCAAATTTATTATAATATAGTAATATGTGATAAGAATAATTACCTATTACCGATAGCAGGTCCCCATAACCAAGGGTTACTGGTTCTAATAAAAAATCAAAATATAAAATTTTAGCATACATGTTTAATATAATCAAACAATCATAATAGTTTTTTCTAAAAAATTATCTTACCCCCATTCGACGATATTATAGAAAATTTGAGATTTATTGCCTTTAGTTGCTGACAGAAGCGCATCCCTCATTTGCTAAATAACAAAGATAAATATTAATGTTAAATTAAAGTTTGAATATTTTTAAAGTATAACTTACTTGGAAACGTTCTGGTTCAGGTCTTCCATCATTGTTGCAATTATCATACTTTAAATAGTCAACACCCCATTCTACGAATGTTTCCGCATCTATTGTTTCGAAACCTATAATTTACTTATATAAGTACATATTTTGAGAGATTTTATGTTAAAAATAAAACAAGTACCTAGTGATCCAGGACTTCCACCACAAGTTTTATATCCAGCATCTGAATAAATTCCAAAAAGTAAGCCTTTGCTGTGTATATAGCTTGCGAGAGCTTAAAAAATAGAATGCATAACTCATGTTAATTATTTTGAAATAATTTTTTTTTTAAATTAAATACATAAGTTAAATAGATATAATGTATCGATGTATCTAATATTAAAGTTTAATCTTTGTACTTAAAAATATATATGAACAAATACACCATCATATTCTAAAATAAGGCCATTCAAAGTTGATGAGTTGGTTAACGTCATTAACGTCGATATTATGGGCTCAGGTAACGGGGGGCTAAACAAACACATAATTCCGTGAATACTTGATCAAATCTTATTGGCCAACCTTAATCACATGATAAATGAAGTTTATGCTGCGATTAGCTTGTTTAATTTTCGGGGGATAGTTATCCGGGAGGGGGGATAACGTTACCAACTAATCAACTTTGAACGGCCTAAGGAATGTAATGCATAAAATATATAGATTACCTGGTATTCCGTTAAAAAATCTTAAAAGGTTTATAATGTTAATGTTTTTTTACATATTTATTTTTAACAATATATATATATATATTTATAATACGAACTTTAAAGGATTATATGTGAGTTTTTCACCCAATCGAATAGGACCTTGCCAGCCATCATCTATAAGTAGGAAAAAACATACGATAATATTAGATGACATATTTAATATATGGTTATTGAATAAATTAATTTACCAAGATTTATGTATCTATAACCAACGTCCAAATATCCTTTATCAGCTATAATATCGGCATGTGCCTTAATTATATTTTCATTGGCATCGCCATGAAACTTTAAATATTGAACATAAAGTAGTTAGTTAAGCTTCTCGATAATACAATATTTACGTTAAAAAACAGATTCCATTTACCTGATTGTAAGGATTCCATCCCATTGGTGGCGTTTTGTAACCATAACCAAATTGGCTCGGGTCCAGACATGTAATAAATTTAGTGAAGGCAATGATAAATATTAATATCCACATTATCATTGTGACAAGAAAATTTTGTAAACTAGTGTGAGAAAAAGTTATTTAATAAAGAATTTGATAAATTGCAAGTGTTTAAATCTATATATATATATATTTTTTTAAATATAATATACGTATATATATTTTTTTAAATTCAATATACGGTTATTATATGAAATTTGCCAATCATTAGAATATGAAGTTATTTCATATTAAATTTGCAGATTATCTATTTTCGTAAGTAATAAAAACTCCAAAAGGAACTTTAATATAAAATAAACTAAGCGTAAGCAAGTGAAGGTCGAAATTTAAGGTTATTGAGTTAATTTGGAGGAATAAACTGTTATTTGCTATATGTAAAATTTTGTTCCCAGCTACGTATTTAATTAGTATCCCGACTAAAGATACCATGAAAAATTAAACTAGAATGATGAAATAATTTCATCACTATTGGTATAACTGTGTCGAATTGGTGATATTAATTTCACCGGCATCTCTAACATTTTGTTTAAACATTAGTTTTGAATATTTCTTTACATGTTCAATTTCATAGAGGCGGATCTGCACAATCTAAAAAAAAAGAAACGTGTCATTTATAATTCCGGTCAAATTTGTTCAAATTTTAAATTATTATGATTAATTCCTTTATTTTAATTTTTTTTTTTTTGCTTTATTGTTCTATTTTACGTGTTTTTTTTTTGAATTTTATTATTTAGCGCACATGCGTTGTGACACACCCCATAAGATCCGGTGTAATGTGAAATCAAAACAAACCAACAACGCATTAATTTAGGGTAAGGGTTAGCACTAATGTAGGGTTAGGATAGATTGTAGGTAAATGTTAGTTATACCCAAAATTTTGCAAGGAATTTTTTTTGTTAGGACGCAAAAGGTGGTTTCATAAGCAAAATTATGAGTTTCAAGCGATTTTTTCAAAACATCGCTATTTTTTTCGATTTCACGTTGCACCTGATTGGTTGATCAGGTGGGTGCGTTACAACGCAGGTGCGCTAAATTATATAATCCTTTTTTTTTTTTTCTTTTTTCTTAACACATGGGGCCTTTGCCATGAAAATCACCTTCCGACATTTCCAATCGGGTTAATTCGGACAAAAATAAACCCGAGTACCGGTTCGTGTTCATATGTTAATCATTTTTTACATTGATTCAATAGTTATTCGATAAACTATTGGATTGAATCAATAAAGTAAAAGATGATTAACATATGAACATGAACCGGTACTCGGGTTTATTTTTGTCCGAATTAACCCGATCGGAAAT